TAAACAAACCACGCTGCCCAAACCCACACCCCAGCAGGGAACCACAGATCCGGCTACCAAGCAGGACCTGCAGCAACTGCAAACCATGCTGCAACGCCTGCTGGCAGCAGACTTACCTGCACTCAAAACGAGCATGCAACAGATCACAGAGAAAGTTGTCAATACAGAGGGTGAAGTTAGAATGATCCAGGGATAAATCTCCACGCTGAAGGAGTCATTCCTTCAGCTGCAACACCGCCACCAACTCCTGACAGTACAAGTGGCAGCACAAAAGGATAAAAACAGACGCAATCACATTAAAATCAGAGGCATACCCCCTCAGTAAACAAAGAGGACCTACCGCACTATATTAGAAGACTCATGCAATCAATACTACCACCCGCAACGACAAGGAAGCTCACATTCGCAGGTATATACCGCTTACCAACGCCTCCCAGAGCCGCCACCACGCTTGCTGGAGATGTCATCGTCCGCTGTGTCCTACCCCAAGACAAGGGGCACATCATGAATGCGATCCAAGGCAAGACTCCACTGGATTTCGAAGAGTCCCAACTAACCTTCTATCAGGACTTAACCAAAACCACTTTCCAATGGAGAAAATCACTCAGTGAACTCACCAGTCAGCTGCGTACAGCGGGGATACCATATCGCTGGGGTAACCCACGCTCTTTACTAGTCACCCACAAAGGGACCACACAAACTCTCCTCGGGGACTGAAGCACCTGAATTCTAACAATGCTGGGCCTACCGAACAAACCCGACCAAAACACACCCCATGCCTGGAAACCAGCAACCGCGGAAATAGCGGAAGGCAGAGACTGGACACACAGGCCACCTGACAGGTAGGGGGGGAGAAGTCTCCTACCCCTGCCTGTTCAAGAGCAATATAAAATGTTCATGTTATAAAATGCTTATATACCACGCACAAGCATACTTGTTAATGTTACACAAGTTACGACACTAGTTTAATGCTTACAAAAGAGCCTGCTAGAGAAGGCACTGACACACAATACCACGTCCACAGAAAACATATCACGGCGCAAGATGGAACACACCCCCCCCGACAACCCATAGGTTAGGGCTACCACCCCTCATGAGTAGTCTCTATTAAGCTCAAGCCAACTACACCTCTACCGAGAGGTAGAGCATACTGAAGAATTACTCACAGGACTCAACAACCAGCATTGCAACCTCTACCAAACACATACTGACCCAAGCAAGGAACTAGAACCATGACCAGCCTGCTGATAACACTTACAATGGGCCAGACCTCCGCAACCGACCCATAACCTAGGTAACAAAACCACAATCTCATACGTTAGCTACACATATTCTAGACCTTCCTCACCACCTAGGATTATCTGCTTGTTATAACTAAAATAAAAAATTGTGCTAAGCTCTGACCCATGCATTGTATATTTATTGTTGAAATCTGTTAATACCTGCTTTTATGCATATGGTAAACCTATTGTGGGTTTGCAGCACGCAAAAATAAAGAATTAAAAATAAATAAATAATAAACTCTTTACACTAGCTAATATATATGCACCTAATAAGTCTACCATGAAACTTATAACAAAGATTATGAAGAAAATTGATAAAATCAAACAGGGGGTGCTATTAATAATGGGTGATCTGAACTGTGTAATACACCCTTTTAAAGACAGGAAGAACTATAATGGAAAAAAAAAAAAGATCAATAAAGGATCTTCAGATAGACTACAAAATGTGATAAATCAATATAAATTTAGGGACATATGGAGAACGTTTCATCCATTGGAGTCGGACTTCACGTGTTATTCAAAAACATTCACTTCCTACTCCAGAATGAACCTTATTTTGGGGGATGTGGTCATGCTTTACCTTGTTAAAAAGATTGTAATACAGGATATAACATGGTCATACCATAACCCAATCATATTGGATTACAAAGAGGCTTTTGATAAGTTTCGTAACGACTGCCGATTGAACGATGATATATTACATAAGAATTATAATATTGAACAGATAAAAAAAAAAATAACTGAACTCTTTTTTTGGGGGGGGGAATAATAATAAGGGGACATCAGATACTGTAGTATAGTGCGCTTACAAAAGTGTTATTAGAGGCCACTTTATGGGGATGGCAGCTAGAAAGAAAAAGAAAGAAGGACCCCCACTCTCAGAGCTATATATAGCACTAAATGAATATAAGAAACAGAATAAAAAAACACCTTCTACAGAAATAGCAAAGAAAATATTAGAAACAGTTATCCAATAAAATAGCAAAAACTTTTGCATTTTTTTCAATCTAAATGGTACCAAAAAGGCAATAAGCCTGAAGCTCTTATGACTAGTAAGTTGAAAAAGGGAAAAAAATAAGTGATATCTAGAATTAAGGATAAAGATACATACATAATGGCCCCAGAACAAATAGGTGGAGCATTTGAAAATTTTTATAGAGATCTATATAATCTACCACAGGACTTATTTGGTAATGATGAAGAAATTAAAAAATTCTTTGAAAGTATATCATACTATTTACCTCCCATGATGTAGACAGGTAAGCTCTGATAAAGCTGTAAATAATTATATAGTATTAGTTTATACACTGTTTGTGTGAGAGAACCAATACAGAGTTTATAAATGATATATTTTATACAAATATTGTATCAATATATTCCAAGAATTGAAGTCCTCACCTTCCAAACGGTTCTATAGTACAACAGACAGAGTGCTTCCTATTGTATAGTTATTACAGATAGACACTATCAAATGAACATATAGAAAAAAAAAAAACGTTTTGCTTTAAAAAAAAAAGTTCTCTTCTTTGCCTTTTTCTCTGGATCGTGGACTCAGGTGGATCTCTCCTTTCTCTTCATGTCTTTTTCAACGCAGTCCTCGTCTCCTCCCTTCTCTCTAAAAATGTAGCGTTACTTACCTTATCCAGGGGTGTTAGCCGCGGTCCTTCTGCTGCACGAGCCGCGCGCGGCTCATCCGATGGCTTCAATAGGAAGGCGGGCAGTGACCGCGAGAAGCGGTCACGTGTCCCGCCTGAATCTAAGAGCGCGCCGCGAGTCTCGGGCGCACTCTTAAAGAGACAGTGGGAGCCTAAATTGTCAAAAGGCTCCCATTGGCCCCTGTCATGCCACACTCCCCATACACTTACCTTTTGGGGGTGTGGATATGACAGGAACCAATCACATTAGTTTAGAAGCTATTTAAACTTACCTCTCCCTTTACTCCCTGCCCTATCATGGTTTCTGTTTCAGTTCCCTTTAGCGCTTGTTGTGTTCAGTTGTGTTTTCTTCGTATTGACTTTGGCTTTGTTTCCGACTACGTTTTCTCTTTATCCTTATCTGTTCTGGTTGCCGGCTTGCTGTTTACTTTGTACCAGACCCCGGCTAGTCCTAGTTTACGCTGTCTCTCTGTGCCCTTGACTTCAGATCGTTCCTGACTCTGTCTCTTCTCATATACGTCGAGTCCGGCCATTCTAAAGTCCGGTAGACGTATCTCTCCTCTGTGTTGTCTTCTGTTTAGCTGAATCCTGCGTGTTGGGGTATATACTCGTTACAATTTTTTTTTGCCTTGAGTGGAGTAGTTGGTGTTTCTGTATGATGTGTAGTCCTCGGAGACTTAAATTGAACCTCTCTCCTATCTCTAGGTGTCTTCTTCCCATTATGTGGAGTCCTCATTCTCCATCTCTCTTCTTGTGAGGAATTCTTCCAAGAGTTGGTTCTGTCCCTGATGGTAGAATGGTATTGGTTGTAATTTCTATGGAATCTTCCCTTCACTTTCCTCTGAGATGTGGGTTTCATTCTACCCTTGTTTCTCATTCTCTCTGGAGAAGTGGTTTTCTCTTGTCCATAGTGTTCAGTCCATTCAAAATTTGTCTTGTGTTGATGTTTCCAATTCCTCTGTACTCCTTTGTCTTAGTCTTCTTTATCTCTCATAATTTTTGTCCTTTTCCCTTCTCTTATTCTGTTATATAGATCTTTGACTCTTCTTTCAATTTGATCTAGTAATTCTGCATATTATCCATCGATGGTTTCTGGAGATATCTCCAACTTTAGTTGTTGAATTTCAGTTTCTAGTTGTTCCAGTTCCTATATATATATATATATATATAATATATAGTGTGTGTGTGTGTGTTCATTTGACAGTGTCTATCTGTAATAAATATCCAATAGAAAGCACTCTGTTGCACTATATGACCATTTGGACGGTGAGGACTTTAATTCTTTGAATATATTGATACAATATTTGCACAAACTATATCATTTCTTTTTTTTTTTTTTTTAAATTCTTTATTTTTCTTGTGCATTGGAAAACATAACAGAGCAGCCTGTAGCGCCACGACAGCGGTTTCAGGCATTGCAATGGCATACATGGTCACGGCAGAGATAAACAGCACATTTCTTTTTTATAAAACAAGATAGAAACATTTTTAAGTTTATAGACATATTAAGTACAGGTTAGCTTTGCATGCCTATTGTGTTGGTCAGTTAAGGGTAAGAATCATACCATGCTTCCAACGTGCACAGTGACTATTGGAAACGATTAGGCTGTGCCTAACTAGCTACGCACATTTTTATCAAATAACATTCATTCGGTTATGTTGTTTGCATGAAATCCTTCACACTAATGAGCTGCTTATTTTCTAAGCTTATATAGAGATGGGCATGGCATTGTGTAGAGAAATTCTCAAGGTTGCATATATGTCTAAACTCTGATCGCCATGGATAGTTATTGACAGGTTATTCCTAGGCATGAATTAATTTTGTGAAGTTATAGATCACTGGTTTAGTATCTATACAGCCTTAGAGTATGTGAGGCACCTAGAGCATAGAAGGCATACAGACTACAATCGATATAAACATAAAGATCAAATAGCCACATTGTGCATGCATGTAGGAGGTACGATTAGGCTGATATGTGTATGGGAAGCAAGAGTCTTAATATTAAGACAGGATCTCCATGGCAGGCAACGTGTTGTCAGTCCTAGTCCCAGGAGCTTTTGCTCAGCCCACGCCGATACTTGGAAACAAGTGAGTGTGGACCTGAGGTGTTGCTGGCCAGGAGCTTGTTATGGTCGCTTTCCAGCCCCAGGCCTTGTCTTGGGCCCACTTGATGACGCCGCAGACGTGATGGCTTATAACAGGTTTCTCTCTAGAGGTGGCGTGTCTGGGTCTCCTGGGTGTTTGATGCCGCTTGCGACGAGGATTCTCCTGCTTTTGCGGTCCATGCAGCAGGTGAGTTACCGGCCTGGGGGTTCGGTGTGTTGCTTGGGTGGGTGTCCCGCCCGTGGGGAGTTTACCCGCCATCCCCCGTGGGCCTCTCTTCATACTTCGTATGGGGTGGGTGATAGTGGTACTTGCCTGCAGCTTGTCCCAGAAGGCTTGGAAGATTGCCTCCAGCCTGGAGTCAAAGCAGTCGAGGTTTGTCTCATGCGTTTGGCTGGGGATTTGCGATGTCTGCATAGGGGCCTCCGCCATCTTGCGTGGTCTGGGTTCTGCCGCGTGTCTGCTATGCATTGTGTGCGGTGGCGGTCGGGTGGGATCTAGGCTTCCAGTGCGGACCGGGATGACCCCCACCGGTCCAAAGGGGGGGGGATAGGAGACCTTCAGCGTCGCTTGTTGGCTCCGGCCCCAGGGAGAGCGGCCGCCTCCCCCCAGCTCCATCGCCATTAGGCCGCACGCGGCGTGCCGGCTACCCGGTTCCGATGGGCATCTGTGAGGCATCATTCTGTTCAGTGGTGCACCCCCAGTGTGGGTAGAGCACCCTGGTCGTGCTGTGGGTTCAGTAGCCGTCGATTTTAGCCTTAGATTTCGCCCGCTTGGCAGGAGCTCGCGGCATGCACGTCTGTGCAGCTCCGAGGTCAGGCTCCGCCCCCAACTATATCATTTCTAAACTTTGTATCAGTTCTCTCACACAAACAGTGACTAAACTAATACTATATAATTATTTGCAGCTTTATCAGAGTTTTCCTGCCTATATCATGGGAAGTAAATAGTCTGATATTGAGCTGATACAATTTCTACAATTAGATCATTATCTCATTTATATCCAGTTTGAATTCGTACTGCTATAAGCATTCTAATATATATATATATATATATATATATATATATATATATATATATATATATATATATATATATATATATATATAACTTCCACAAGAAAAGGCTGCTCTCTGGACTTAAAATCAAAGATTTTATTGAAAATATTTAAAAATGATGACCAACGTTTCGGTCCCCGATCGGGACCTTCCTCAGGGTCAGAGACAACAGGACAACAATAAACAGTATACAAAGTGACAATATATACCATTACATTAAGTGAAATGACTCACCCAGGTGTTCTATTCTCATTTCCCGCCGGCACCCAGTGAATTTCCGGGTATGCGCGCGCACGTCAATACGTGCTCCGCCCCTTCATCATACTATGTTACGTGCCGACGTACTCCCGGTCACATAGACCGGTCTCCTTAGCAACCATATATACAAAGACCCCTCTTACAACAAGAGGAGTCTATACCAGGATAGAGAATAGGGAAGAAAAAATTAATGCCATACATAAGTAATATAAGTGCTTATTTTAAAACAAATCTTGTGATGGGCTCATTGTGTATCATATATCCCTAACCACAAGAACACCTAGTGAACCTAGGTAAGTGACACTTCATTAAAGTGATAATAAAGCCACTAAAATTTGACCCATCAGTGTATGAGCCCTAGTTATAGTTAAATGTGAAATTGCACTCATCAGTGAATCAAAAAAATTCATATATAAAAATTTTTAAAGTGATAGCATGCATATAATAAAGTGCATTATAAGTGCTCATAAGCAACATATGTGTAATCAAATATATCATACATATAAAAACACTTTGGCATAATTATAGACACACTGCTCCTGAGAAATTCATTAAACATAAAAATATTTAAAAACAATAGTAACAAGCTGGTTAAACCTATATAAAAGAATGATACGTGATGCTCTCATTAAGACCCATGGGAGATATTGTATTTAATTGGTGTATCCAAAAAGCCTCTTTCTGAAGCAACATCTTCCCCCTATTACCCCCCCTGCGGGGAAGGGGTATATGATCAATACCCACAAATTTAAGGGATGCTAAGGGATGTTTTTTATCAAGAAAGTGCCGAGCAACTGGCTTATCAGACTGGCCATCCCTGTACGCTAATCTTATACTCGAGCGGTGGCCCCTAATCCTCTCACACAGAGGTGTTTCTGTCTTTCCTACGTAATAGAGGCCACACGGACACACCAATTTATATACAACAAAGGGGGTTTTACAAGTAATAGTGTGTCTTATATCATATATTTTATTAGTATGTGGGTGATTAAATTTCTTTGCTGGAATCATATGTCCACAAGTAATACACCCCAGACACCGTATGCTTCCCCGTATGTTGTGCTTGACTGTTTTAGAATAACTTTCCACAGGGTCTGTACGCACTAACATCCAATTCTTACACCAATTAAATACAATATCTCCCATGGGTCTTAATGAGAGTATCACGTATCATTCTTTTATATAGGTTTAACCAGCTTGTTACTATTGTTTTTAAATATTTTTATGTTTAATGAATTTCTCAGGAGCAGTGTGTCTATAATTATGCCAAAGTGTTTTTATATGTATGATATATTTGATTACACATATGTTGCTTATGAGCACTTATAATGCACTTTATTATATGCATGCTATCACTTTAAAAATTTTATATATGAATTTTTTTTGATTCACTGATGAGTGCAATTTCACATTTAACTATAACTAGGGCTCATACACTGATGGGTCAAATTTTAGTGGCTTTATTATCACTTTAATGAAGTGTCACATACCTAGGTTCACTAGGTGTTCTTGTGGTTAGGGATATATGATACACAATGAGCCCATCACAAGATTTGTTTTAAAATAAGCACTTATATCACTTATGTATGGCATTAATTTTTTCTTCCCTATTCTCTATCTTGGTATAGACTCCTTTTGTTGTAAGAGGGGTCTTTGTATATATGGTTGCTAAGGAGACCGGTCTATGTGACCGGGAGTACGTCGGCACGTAACATAGTATGATGAAGGGGCGGAGCACGTATTGACGTGCGCGCGCATACCCGGAAATTCACTGGGTGCCGGCGGGAAATGAGAATAGAACACCTGGGTGAGTCATTTCACTTAATGTAATGGTATATATTGTCACTTTGTATACTGTTTATTGTTGTCCTGTTGTCTCTGACCCTGAGGAAGGTCCCGATCGGGGACCGAAATGTTGGTCATCATTTTTAAATATTTTCAATAAAATCTTTGATTTTAAGTCCGGAGAGCAGCCTTTTCTTGTGGAAGTTATACCTATTGGAGCTTTGGTGGTGCGCCCGGCATTTGGAATACTTCAAGCGTGAGTGCAGGGGATGTTGATATTTATATATATATATATATATATATATATATATATATATATATATATATATATATATTTTTTTATATATATATATATATATATATTTTTATATATATATATATATTATTTGGCAACTTTCCTATCAGCTTATCCTATTCCGTTTCCACTGTAGTCCTGATTCTATTATTGCACAAAGAAAAATTGGCCAAGAGGGTTATCCACAGATAAAGGGTCGACACTCTCCTGACACTTTCCCGATACCCACGTTTGCATCCCTCCTCTCTTTTCTCTACGGTACCCTTGCTGCAGTCTAGACCTTATAGCCCGCCAAAATCTAGTGATCATATAGGGTTTCCCTAGAATTTGGCTGATTGATTGCCACTTTAAGTCATTGGCAAGCAACATGCCGATCAGGGCATTGTTTTCATCTCCGCTAAATTGGTATAACACTTTATCAGCACTAACTCTTTAGCTCTACGCTCTGCAAAGTCTCTTTCTCTCTTCACCTATTACTTTACTGTTAAAGGTATCCATGAAGGCACTGTTCTTATTTATGTGATTTTTCTATATCTATCGGCACCTTCTACTTAGTTATTTAGTCACTGCACAGGTCCATTATGTCATATTAATTATGGCACCTTCTATTAAGTAAATCAGCTACTTGAATTCTTATTTGGACACTTTTAAATTGCCAATTTATATTCTACACTGGTTCTATATTGCTCTGCGTTAGGCTCTTGATTGTGAACCAAACGTTACTAAGTATCATATTATACATTGGACCTGTTTAGCGATTTATTCTTGCAACAAATTTAGCAAGCCGATTCTTATTTATCTGTAGCCAATTTGGGTACCCTTTAATAAGTTAGTTACACTATACCTTTTGGGACCTTTTGTTGCCTTTAGTGTATAGGCTTTTATGGTGTCCGACTCGACATTGTGTAGCTTTATATGTGTTAGACGACATTAAGCCAGCCGTCTACACATCTAATAGACCTTCTCACAGGCAACAGTACCTTATGCTATTATTAAGTTCTAACGCCGATTGTGGCTTCTGATTTTGCGCCTGTTTTTTCCAATTTAGCTTTGTTTTTTGTTTTGTTTTAATTACACCATAAAATTGGAGATTGCCACTAACAGCTTTGCTCCAGATTATTTGTTTAGATTTATGTGACTCACCTTTTCTTGTGTCATCCTCCACTCCCCTTATCCCCTATATGTATGCCCCCTGCATAAACTACTGTTATAGCTTCTGTCTGAGTCAGACAGTTATTTAAAGGGGCTGTGTATCTATAGTTACCTTTTTTGGTATTAATAAAGTATCTTCGAGATTTTTAAGTACACTTTCAACTATAGGGACAGATTCCTCTCTTATTTTTGTTTGTTCTGATTGTATTATTGATTAAATTCAGTAGTTACATATACTAATGACTAGGGATGAGCTATATTCACTTGGGATATAATCACTAAGCACTACGGAATTTGTTGGCACTATATAAATATAATAATAACTAAGGGGGAAAAGCAGTCCTTGGTAGCGACACTCTTTATTAAACTCAAATATTTGTATGCATGGCATGATCCCACAACAATGAATGTGAGTAGTGTACTATATAATGTGTAGCATTACAATAAGAGAGTGCATCAACTCTCACATTTATTCCTATGAGCGTTACATGTGCACGGTTTATCCTATTGATTTTAACAGGAGATATAAACTCTGAATGTGTTCGAAGAATAAATTGCATATTTTTGTGATATGGGCAATTTTAAATCCTTAAAGTTTAACAGGTATTCCCAACTGGTGTAAATGTTTATTTTCTCTATAGCAGATTTCATAGCAGCCTCCTTGAATTGTTCTGTTATGGTCTAGTAATTGTAGTTGATAATTTATCACATCT